CAAAGAGAGAGAGAGAGAGAGAGAGAGAGAGAAGGGGGGGTGGTAGAGTGAGAGGGGGAGAGAGGGAGAGAGCGGGTGAGCGAGTGAGTTAGAGAAAAGTACTTACGAAATGAGAAAAGCACGAAACAAGACCTCAAGCGCAATAATCATGTTGTTTCTTCACAGCTAGTTATATTTAAAATGTGCATGTACAGTTTAAATCATAAGCTTGAAAATCTTTCTAAAGGTACACGGCGTATAAAATCAAATAACCATCTATGGAGTGCACTGGCTATATAAAATGACACACTTTTTTATCGACTCTTGATTATTCCAACATTTAGCTTTGTTTCACTGAATACACCGGCTCTTACTGAAAACGGAAATAAAAAAGAATCAGTGCTTATTTGTGAGATGTCCTTTTTTCTTTTTAGTGTACAATGAAATCAATTATGTTAGTGGTCTTCGTGCATATTCAAGTGCTGAAGAATCATTACGGCGCCTCCGTACATTTATCCTGTTTGTGCGACAGAATGGACATACATTGCATATCTAATGAACTGAGAATCGTGTTTCCACAATAAACAATATTTTATGTCGAGTGTTTCAAAGAAAACGGAAATCAGACAAATCTCAAATACCGCGTAAAACGTGGCCTTAACATTAAATGTGATCATCGTTATTTTGCTTAGGAGCCATTGGTTTTGTGTAGGGCACGAACCTCTTGGGCATCGGCTCTGTAAGATTTCTGACATTATTATCTGTCATGTTATCCCACATGCCACAGACAGTTGCAAATAAAATGTTTGAATTGGGAGTAAAGTCGTTTTTCTTCAGCTGCTGTTTCATGGGGCTTCTCATACCTGTAGGATTCTCATTGGGGCTATAATTTACTGGTGACCACTCAAACGTTGGTATGTTCTGGTTTTCCAAAAATTGTCCAGTTGCATTGGCACTGTGAAAGAGCTTAGAGAGCTTTGCCATGCATGCAGATGTCTACTTGAATGGCACCATGACAAAAATAAGGTTAAGACATGACATTCCAGCACTTGCGCGAAGCAGTCCACTGAACCAAGCCATCCGGACTGTGGTTCTCACGAGGGCAGTTTTGTTAATCCACCCGAAACCACCCAAAACTATGATTGTGTCGTGGCCTCTGTTCCTGACTGACAGATCATTAGTTCAAAATTTAACAAACACAGTTCATGTGCAAAAATGGTTTCATGGTCTACGCGAAACAATAAATATCTCCTAAAGGAAAACAAAATCATACTAATGAGGGCATGTAATGTTAAGTCCAGGTTTTGCATGGCATTTGTGACTACTCTATTTTCCAATCAGTTTGAAAATATCATCAGAAAATGCTGTTCCTCGTAGAGACAATAATATTCTCGATTCATTTTATATTCAATACATTTCCATGACACTAATATTGATCCAGCTTAATACACATGCCAACACAGTTCCTTTGATTTCGCACAATTTTGCCACGCCTGATTTTTTAAGGTCAGTTTTTAGTGACCCTATCTCAGAAGTCTCTTAAATTAGATGAATTAATATTAGTGTGTCAGATAATGTAGAATTTATTTAGCTTTAAACTGGTAAGCTGCATGAATGGGTAGTGCAGGGCTCTAACACGATGATTGGGTAATTACATTTTCAACTTTCTTTTGGACACTACTTTGTAGCGGGCCTGAGCGCTATATAAAAGTAGAGTTGTTCCCGCATCCGATCCGGGCATTTGAGGATTGCCTTGTTAGTGAGACAACTTCCTGGGCCTTCGGCATATTGTGGTAAGGTGGCTAGTTCCTTTCCACGCCGCCTTTACTTCCCCAACTCCGAAGTCAGGTACCCATTACTGCTGGGTGGGCAGGAGGGGGCGAAAAAAATTCGTGTCCGAACTGAGGCTCGAACCCGTACTTTCCGCTTCGGAGACGAGCGCACAAACCGCTCCGCCACCGCACCCAACTATATTATAGGAGCGCTATATAAGTGTCATCATCATTATCATCCGGTGCCTTGCCGACTGGCGTTGGCGATCACGGACCTCCACTTCACTCTGTCTTGCGTTGCATCAAAGGTGTCTGTTGTTCTTGCTGCTCCTAGCCATGTCGTCATCTTGTCCAGTATCTTTTCCGTCTGTTTGCCTCTGCCTTTCTTTCCATCAAACGTGCCTGTTGTTACAATATTCTCCAATGCTTCTTTCCGCACTGTGTGTCCGAAGAAATTTGCCTGTCGCTTTCTTATATTCGTCATAAGCTGTCTTCTACAATTTGCTTCAACCAAGACTTCATTTGTTTTACTAGCTGTCCATGGGATACGCAGCATGCGTCCTATGAACCACAACTCTGTCGCCACAATTATTCTTTCCAGCGGTTTATTGATTGTCCATGCTTCGCACACGTATAATAGGATTGGCTCGATGTAACTTTTCAATACTCTTTTTCTCGTTTCCAGTGACAGATTGATGTTTGTTAGTATCTGTTTCATTTTGTGGAAGGTTGCTTTTGCTTTGCAAATGCGGCTTTTATACTTTTAATTTCGGTGAGACATCTCTCATCTGATGATATAATGGTCTCCAAATATTTATAATGTTTTACTTGCTTGAGGGTGGTATCATTGATTTTGATATTGCATGTTGGGGATGGAGTTTTTCTGCTATCACCTTTGTTTCGGTTTTCTTGATGTTTAGGCTTAAGCCCATGTTGTCACTCTCTTGTACGATGACATTTAATAGATTCTATAGGTGTTCTTCATCTTCTGCTATTAGGATTGTGTCGTTTGAATATCTTAGATTGTTTATATTATGTCCTCCATCGAGATACCTGGCATTTCTTCAATGTGTCTCATGATATTTTCACTATGCAGGGAGAACAAGTCTGGAGAAAGTACACATCCTTGTCTGACTCCTCTTTTAATCTGTATGTTTTCGCTGATGTCGTTTTCTATAAGTGTCATATATTATTATTATTATTAATATAATAGGTCATTTTGGAGGAAAAAAAAAAGTAAAAATGAAATTGTATTGGTTCAACGTCCCTTGAAACACTGCAAGGTAATTTAAGAGGCAGAACCTCCTCATTTAACGTCCATTTTTGATTGAACAAAACCAAATGAGAAAATCCGTCTAATGTGCCTTTCCTATGTGCATAACAACAGATCGAGATGAAAGTTGAACCATCGAATCCACT